TTTCTAGCCCCAAATGCGTTTCACAGCATTGAATGAGAGACTGAGAGAGACGAGGGATGGCGTACTGCCAAGCCCAAAGACCACACTCGAAGGGGGTGGGGAATACGAACACCGCTAATGGTTTAACTCCTAAACCACCTCTTCGCACCTACAGCGTGGAGGAATCCCAAAGTCCGAACCTGTTGAACTCTTCAGCAATGCCCGGCCCGCGTTTAGCCTCTGCCCTTCAGGTGCGTCGGGCTAGATGAGCCGCACAGAGAATGGGCGTGTCGATTCTGCATGCATGATGATGGCACGTTGCTTAGTTGCATGCGGCCAAAACGTGGGTCGTAGTGAGACTTGTGCAAGTCTTTCTCAATTTGTGAAGATGTAATCTTTGTCGTTATACATGTGCTTGACATGACTATACTTCTACGATGGCCACACTTCAACCCTAGCTTTTTGAAAGCGCCGAAAGGCACCTGAGCGCCTGAATTACAAAGTGCTTAGCACAACCAGGCTCCTACCAGCATGATCTCAGAGCCAAAAAACACCTAGGGCCCTGTGGGATAGATGCATCTGAGCGTTTCACCCCAAGCACCTTCGCACGCAAATCTCCAAACACCCGTCCACACTCATCCATGGTAGGAGCAAACAGGGAAACATAATTTCATGTTCTGTCTCTTGTCTAAGTTAGGTGTTCCTGCACGACACTCTATTCACTCATGCCTAGTGCAACAAGAGTGTAAGTAGAGTATAGTCCTCCTACAAAGAACCACAGCTTTTCACAAATCAGGAGTTCCGCGCCTCGCGAAGGACATGCTGCGTTTTGATGTCCCCCCACTGCGAAGGTAGCAGGCTCCCCGAACCCCCGATGCCTTGAGCTTAGCAAGGACCAAGTCCCAAAGAATCTGACAACAAACAGCACTGTCGCTTATGCCGACCGAGGATCTCTCCTTGTGACAAGGGCCAGCCCTGCAAAGATGTGGTCGTTGGCGTCCATCTAGGACACTAGGACATGGCATGTGGGCGTTGAGTGTAACTGGGTGTGCCGACGATTCATTTGTACAAAGGTGCTGTTGGCTTCGGCTTCTCTGGCCTACATCAATCCAAAACATTACGGGGCTAATTGTGACTGCTGACGGGCTGATGGCCGAAGCTACTCTGAAACCGGCTGATCGGAGCCTCCCTTCTCCAAGTTAGAGATTCAGTGAGACCTTTCTTGCAACCGGACAGACGCGCCAAATCGCATGCCCTCAACAAGTCCGAAGCCCGCAATCTCAAACTCATTGAGAAGTCCGGTGCTCGCAAACTTCCTCCTTCAAGTTAAAGTTTGAACCGCGAATTCCAAGCCTCCTGGACCATCAAGGCCTCCCCCTGGGCTATCCGTATCCAGGAATCCAGGAGGTCTTTGAATTGAATCTGTGGTTTGGGCCGCAGCATAAGCAATTTCGAGTTTGTACGTTTTAGTTCATCTGCCTGGGCTCCAAGATCCAAATCGATCCTCTGAAGTTCTTGGGCCTTGGTTCCCAGAAGGTCTTGACAAGTATTTAGTCTTTTCAGACCCGGAATCCGCGGTTCACGCCTCTGGCAGCTCAGGTCCCGGAGCATTTATGTCAACGTGTAAGCATGGCTCAAAACTTTACAGCGGTACACCATGTGCCACGTACTTCATGTCTCATGGACTTGTCACGAAAGCTAGCGCTCGTGAGAGTTTTTGTTTACAACCTTCTTGCTTTGGGGCAAGGAGGACTTGGCGAAGGCCTGAATCCCTGGTATCTCTGGGATTTATGGTCTTAGGGTGGGGGTTGGGCGGGTGCGTGTGTTCGATTAGGCGGGGGGCGAGGGGGGGGGGGCCCTGCCCTGACCTTGAGGTGCAAGAACACTTGTTACATGATCGCTTGAATGATGATTTCGCACTTCGTTTCAAGCCCCAAGCCCCCCGCCCCCCCCGGCAGAAGAATAAAAATGAAAAGCTGCTTGTCATCTACGGGCGCCTAGCTTTCGTCCGCCCTGCTCTCAAGTTTTGTCATCGGCTGGGTGAAGACCCCTTTTTTGGGACGTGCAGCTTGAGAGGGTGGTAAGTGTTAGTACTCGTGTTTTCAAAGCATCCCTTTCAGCACCTGTCAAGGAGTTATTGCGTTCTTGGTGTCATGAATCAATGAATGCGGTCGCGGCTAACCTAAACTGACTTACCTGGCAGGAGAGGGATGGAAGTGACTCGGCGGAGATTTCCATGTCTTCATGAACATTACTGATTCTTTGGGTGTTGTTCTGTGAATACTCTAAAACACTAGATGAACCATTTCCGGTTCCATGTCTTACGTCTCATCAACGGAAGATTCGCAACCCAAGGATAATTCATACAGAGCAGAAGAACTTGCCCACAGACATTCGAAAGATGTAGAGAGGCCTTTGACAACAGTTTCTTACTCTTCCTTCTCCAACAAATACGTCTATATTCAGTAGCGTTGCAAGGTTGTTTCAATCCAACTGTTCCTCAACGCTTTGCACAGCTTCAGCGTGATAATCCGGATCTATGCGCCGCTCCGCCTAGAGTCTGCGCGTTGCAGAACATGTCTATGTCTGAATGCTGCGTGCAGGTCATGTTGTCGTCTTTGCTTTAAAGAGACTACAGTATGACCCAGGCGGACGCGCCTTGTCCTCGTTCACCGCGAGGACACAGAGCGACGCGTCTGGGACGAAGATGCAACGGGCGATCTGAGAAAGTGCTGTGGCAGTGCGGGGCCGTCGCAGAGTCTCAGTGTCCAAAGGCTTCACGATCTGTTGGAAGGTTGCAGGCGGTTGGGCTTTCAACACAGGTCCGTGGCTCGCTGACGGCGGGGATAGATATGTTGTCTAAGGGGCTCCCCTTCTCCCGGGGGGGGGGGGGGGGGGGGGATGCGTGGTGGGGTGGCATGCGTCAAGGAAGGAAGGAAGGAAGGGAGGAAGGGAGGGAGGGAAGGAAGGAAGGAAGGAAGGAAGAGAGATTGTAGGAGAACAACGTTGAGAAGGCAACAGACTACTGGCCAGGGGAACAGTCACGATGAGGGGCTGTTTGGGGGGAAGCCTTGCCAGTCCATGGATAGTCTGTCTCCTGTTTCCGACGATGAGTCTCACGGGACACTCTATGCAAAGAGAGAATGGTGTGGGGTCTTGCTGCTGTCCACTCAAATCAAGCCCAGGCCTCGTCTTTCTGCAGGGTCCTGAGCCACTTGGCAGCCTGTCAATGGGCGGAAAGTTGGGGGCGCTCGAACTGCCAGGACCGTAATGAGTAGTGTCTGCAAGTCTTGTTAGGTCATCCCAGTTTGAGGTCTGATGAAGTGTACAAGTCCTGAAGAAGATACAGCCCACATGAAGACTCAGCATTGGCTGGGCGGCATTCCCTCTGACATGGCATTGGCCCAACAATAGCCTGAACGCAAGCGAACCCATCGGAGCGCACTGCTTCTGCTCCTTGCTCCAGGTTGGCTGCGCAGGCCGCAGTGTCGGAAGCTGCAAAAGTTGACGACAGCAAGGAGGGGGATCTGTAGTAAAAGTATGGCATAGCACAGCAAAACATAGCATAGGAAGAAGGAGTACCAGCACAGTGCTCGTACCAGCACAGTGCCTGGAGTTTGACAAATCGTTTTCATGGTTTCTAGGCTTGGAGTTGAGCAGCAGAGTAGCTGGGTCTGGCGGCGCCTTGTCAAAACCCAAGACATAGTGACGGGTTGGTCGCATTTAGTCATCCAGAGCTGGGGCCCTGCACTGAAGTTTTTGTGCTCCTGACATGTGGCTAATAAACACACAGCTTGAGCGTCCCTAATCTTGGTTGGACCCACCAGGAACACCGGCTCATCATAACTGCGCCAAAGCTTCCCTGGCTGGGTCCTGGCACCTTGAAAGCAATGCTTTTTTGGCAAAATTCAAGCAGAAGGACGAAAGAGGGATTGCTTTTGGATTCGCACTTTGCTTCTTCAATGGCTGAACGGACCGAGAAGTGATTGCTCTGGACACCAACAGAGATTGAGAAAGCAGGCAAGCGAGGGTGAGAAATGCAGCCCGTCTGATTCGGATCCTCCTCCACGAACATATTTTGCCCCCGCAGGCCCCAAACAGAGAGACCACGTGAGGCCAGAAGTCCAAAAGTATCTACAGTTTTGCATTTCACGAACCCAGACGTCCAAAGGAATGTGCTGTGGAAACTTGTACTAGTGGTAGAAGGGGTGTTCCAAGACAGAAGGCAACAGTTGGCTTTAATGGTCAGCGCCCCTGTTGCAAGAGAAGCCATCCCGGCCCGTCCCGGCTTCCGAGGCCCCATGGGCATTTGCGTGCACAGTGGCCCCACGAGCGTCGCGAACGGCCGCCTTTTCAACCTCAAGGTTGGCAAGGCAGCCGGGCTCAGCAGGTTGTCTTCAAATAGCAGTGATACCAGCTCAAGACTGCTTAACTGCACATCATAACATACCAGGTCTCAGGTCTCATCACAAGAAGGCCAGACTCGGACACCATCCGGCCTGGCGAACTAGATTTCTGTTTTGGAGAGAGGGCCTAGCAAGTAACCAAGTTGTAGTTGATCATCGTATCTGCCGCTCGTTTCCAACATGGCGCATCTACTGCCCATGCAAATCCCAGCGACCTTGCGATTCAGCCCCAAGAACCTGTGCAGACAACGGGGGTCCACTTGTTCAAAGGCTGCGAGTAGGAGTGGGCACAGGAGGAGGAATTGTAGGATGAAAGTGAAGCAGAAGTAGAAGCAAAAATAGGAAGAGTAGGAGCAGGAGGAATTGTGCCACGGAGTTGTGGCACAGACAGGCTTGCCATCGGTGGAAGAAGATGCTTGCAAAAAGTCCGGTTTTGTGTTCGTACATCACAGCTCAATTAGCTTTGACATGCTTGGAAGACGTGTTGTCGCCACTTGTGCCTTGGCAACTCTTGCAGGCCTATACTTGAAAAGGTATGCGAAATCTGCGCGGCCGACATGAAACATGATTTTGCAATCAAGATGCACTGTGCTAAAGCTCATGACATCAAGGCTCATGTTGACCTATTTCAATCTTCCATGCTGGCTCTGTTTCCTCCCTTCCACGACTGACCGTCGATGTGTTCATCAACTTGAGGCATCCGATGCTGCGGTGTTTGCCTATGACGGCCGGGGGGCAGACTGCATGGCAGTGCGCCTGTATGCGGCTTGGCCGCAAGAAGTGAAGAAAGAGCATTCTATACCACGTTTGAAGCCATTTCGGCCTGGGAAGCCGCGCCTTCCCGAGGAGGATCGGGCCTTTGGTCTGGAAGTCGCGCATCGGAAGATGGAGCCTGGCACCTTGGCGAAGACGTGCCGGGACCCGTATCAGACCGTATCCCATCCGTATCCCATCCGTATCCCTGTCTGGCAGAGCAGGCTTGTTCGGCAGTGCATGTTGCATTGAGGTTCGAGTTTGCTCCTGTGGGATTGTGGAGGCAAGAGGCTTGGACACGCAAAGTGGGCATGCGCCCCCCCTGAGTTTTCCCCGACACGTCAAGCGGTCACCCTTTAGGATTCCGGTGCCGGAGGCCGAGGCCAGGACCCCGCTCTAAGGCCCCAGCCTGCTTTGTGACGCTTTCGTGGCCCTCTCAGTTAAGGACAACCCATGCGGTTGAGTTCGCTTTTGGAGTCGACCGATCTTTGTCTCCATTCGGCTACACTGGAGTGGCATTGGGCATGAAGCCCCACACTGACAAGCTAGAGCTTGCAACCAGGCAGCAAGTTTTTCACACAACAGGTGCAGGGGCACCCCTGTCACAAGCTATACCGTTATTGCATACGTAGTCTTGGCCCTGTCTTGGCCCTGACACTTTGTGGGGCCATGTGCTTTGGCTGATGCTTTCGGTAAATGTTGAACGATGGTCCTGTTGATATTCCGAGCACCCGAGTTAAGGCAAATCCGACAGTGATTAGAGCTAAGGTTCGGTCTGATGATCCCTGGCGGTTAGTTTTTCAAACGCCAGAGGACGCCGTCCACGGCACGGTGCTGGGAACGGGAGCTTGCAGGTGGGATCTTATGTCGTGAAGGTTGAGTCGTTCAGGGGCCTCTTCTGGAATCTTGTAGGTTTTGCCAGTCTGCAATCCCAGTGGAAGAGCAAAGGCTTCAAGCTCAGCTTGCAGTTGTTAGATTGTCATGATTGTTAATGTGGTTTCTGCTAGTACGAAAGATGATGATGATGATGATGATGATGGAGAATACCATTCATCTTTGAGGTCCTCATAAACCTGTGATCCTCTTTTGAATTCCATGACAGTACATGATTAGTACGTGAGCTATGGAGCCCCTAGAATCAACAACTGTCCCGATCAGCGTTGTGGCCCTCGCTCGGCGTCTGCTGAAGCCCGAGCACCTCCAATCATCTTTGCTGGGTTTTATGTTCTTTCGCCCTGAAAGCACAAATTCCGATCATGTGCCTTGAGGTTTCATGCTGTCAGCTTGTGGCAGCAGACAATGCTTATGGCAGAATCCGTGTGCACCCGCATGGGAGCATGGCATATCTGTGCTTGAGGATATCTGTGCCTGAGGCAACGCCCGCAAAACGAAACAGTAGAAAACCATCAAAGGAACCGAAAGGGAACACTTTGCCAATTTTTTTAAACCCCTACGCCCTCCAGCCTCAACCCGGAATTTCCCCCCAAAAGATTGAACACAAAGCGAGGAGGAGGAAGCCACCGCGCAGCTCCTCCGCGAGGAGGCGGCAGCGGCTGCAGCCGCCCGGGTCGCCCTGAAGGCTTTGGAAGAGACAACAGGGCATGGGGTGTTCAATAGTACTCAGGACAAGCACAACGAGTGTGCATGAACACTTGAACACTGGCAATAGCATCAGTGGTCCTTTACAGTTCATTCTGGCCAACTCGGTGCCTAGCTAGCATGTTTGAGCAACTCTTTGCTCCGAACCTTCGGCACGAGACACGTTTGTAGAAGATGGGTTCTTCGTGCACTTGGAGGTGTCCAGGGGATAAGGACAACCATAGGACAAGTCCTGTTTTTGGGATTTCGGAAGAAGTGTGTTTGTGGAGGGGCGGATGCAGTTCAAGTGCGGACTGCTGGGAACGGGGATGGGCAAGGGTCAGCTGGCATAGCTGGCAACTTGTCGGGCGGAAATCAGATCGCACGAGGCAAGATGATGAAGAAGTGCTGCTAGTTTTTCAGCAACCATTCACGCACAGCATTCAGTTCCATCCAAAGAGTTAAAATCATTAGTACTGTCGCTCTTGCAGGAAGGCGCGATTGCCCGCTGCAACTGCGTGCCTTTGGCTTCAACTGCTATGGGGCTGCTACGGGGTTACATGCAGCTGGGGAAGATGATGACTCTTCTGAAGCAATGCTCGTACGACTCACTGGATGACTAGAAAGCTCAAGGTTGACCCCTAGAACTGCAACCGTGACTTGCAAAGCACCTGCCAACGCACAGACGCTTCCACCTTGCTACATTCCACCAAGGCTGGAGAAATTTCAACGAAGTTGTTGCAGGAATCGAATCTCGAGCCATAAAAGTCACAAAAGAACACGGTGACAACAAACACCGTAATGGACGCGAACTGCAGCAGAATCATGCAACCTGCAACCTCTCTTGGACCAGAGTTGTATTGAGGTGTTGATGGGTTTGTGCACATCCCTGGCGCCGTGTCCCGAGACCTGGTCCTGGCTGCCAGGCCAGGGGGCCAGAGAGGCCCCAGAGTGTCGTAGCATAGTGGGGTTTTCAGTCTGGAAGCAGAAGGGAAAGTCTAAGCCGCCCATCATGTTTCCAGACGGTGCTCCCATAATCCTTGAGTGGAGCCAAGGCTTGCTTGGTAAAATCATGGGGGTCCTGAGTACACCCAAGAACCCCAGCATGTCAATGAGTCCTTGACACATAGGACTCGCTTGGTTCACGTGCCAGGAAGGAAATCAACAGGCAGCTGGGAGCGGCCACAGGTGGCACGGACCAGTTCAAGGCCAAAGCAAGAAGCTTTCTCGTGTCTCGGAGGGTTCGCATTTTGAGGCTTTCGTGCTCGCAATCGTCTTTGCATCCGCAAGTAGCCTCGGCAACTGCCAGCGCTCCCAGAGTGTCGGAAGTCATTTCGGCACACTCGGGTCGCAATGAGGATCAGTCGCGCAGGGCGCGCAATCCGAGACCCCAGTGATCGCGCTTGTGTGTTTTCACAATCCTTGCGTCGTTGATGCGTCGCCGTGTGGAGCATGAGGTGGCAATCATGATCAATCATGTATATACATAGTATGGATGGGCCATGCTTGGCATGGGCTGAAAGAAGGCATTTTTCTCGCCCTACCCAGAGGGAGGCAGAGGCCACGTCGAGATGCCTCCCTCCACACCAGTGGCCAGGTGTGGGGCAGCTATGCTTCTGGCAAGTTACTGGCTGCCCTTGAGGCCAACGCGCCTGTGGCCACGGCGTATGACAGCGGAGCTATGCGCCAACGCGTCCGCTGGTGGGCAGCCAGCACGTACCTACTTGACGTGCGGAATGCATAGCCCGCACGTACCTACCCCACGTGCGGATTGCATCCTATGGTCCTAGGCAGGGGAGGCCATTTGTTTTCACGATCCTTGCGTCGTTGATGCGTCGCCGTGTGGAGCATGAGGTGGCAATCATGATCAATCATGTATATACATAGAATAGATGGGCCATGCTTGGCATGCGCTGAACGAAGGCATTTTTCTCCCCCTACCCAGAGGGAACCAGAGGGCAGCTGTGCTTCTGGCAAGTTACTGGCTGCCCTTGAGGCCAACGCGCCTGTGGCCACGGTGTATGACAGCGGAGCTATGCGCCAACGAGTCCGCTGGGTGCTTCTGTCCAGTGTCTCTGTAGAGCATGAGAGCTGTAGTCATAAGTATCTCCGCACTGGCGTCCAGAATTTGGGAGGTGCCCGAGATTGACAACACACGGCGCAGCGCTCTTTTGCAGGGTGGTTTGATGCTCGATTACGAAGCAAGGCACAAAATCTCTAAGGATCCCGATCCCATGCCTGATCCCCGTGGCTGTTCATGCTTTGGAATGCATTCCTTGGGATCCAAATGATCCAAGAAGTGACAGCTTGTGGCCGCGGGCCTGGTCACCGCAATACGATGTCGTTACCATGTCATAGCTTCAGCGCAAAACACCTACGAAGGTCTGGAGAATGCCCATCGGCAATCCCAGGCAGCCAAAAGTGGTCCAAGAATATTGATATGCAGGATTCATTGTTTCCGTACATATTCCTTCCTGAGATCCGCCTTTGCGCCAGGCAGTCTGTCCATGATGCCATGCTGCATGTTCTGAAATGCTTGTGGTTATGATTTCAAGCTTGGGCTCGTTTGAGGCATCGCTTCAGGCTATCGAGGCTGTTTGTTCTCGCAATGCCCCACTGCCTGAAGGGAATACGTTTAACGTTGTCGGGAGGCAAAGACCTTTCCAAAGAGGCCCGAGACACACGGCGAACATTATTTGGGTGGGACTGTGCGTAGTGGCATGTCTGGACTATTGACATGTGTACTCTGTTCTGAAGGCGGCTGCGCGGAGGCTTCATGCAGAGGTTTGAGTACATTTGAGAGGAAGGGGTCTCGAAAGGGTTGACGCACATTCGGTAGGTCATTGGAGTGCTTCGAGAGGCCACTGGTAAGTTTACTGAGTACCGCACATCTAATCTTCGGGCCCGTTTTGAAGCTTGCAAGATCCTACAAGCCAAATGCTAGATGTTACAACTTGGGAAGTGAGAGGGCTAACCTTGGGGCGTGAGCTTGACTTCGAGTCTGGCTGATCTAACCAAGAAATCATGCCTACTCGCAACGTGAAATTTTCCTGATATCCGAGGCTCCAACAGTTGAAGCAAACTTAGCCTCCCAGACTTGAACTTGCCCAGCAAAGGATCACCAACCTCTTCAACTCCTCCAGCTTGCCGTTCATTCTGGAGCGACTCCTAGGTGGGCGACTTTTCTAGCCTACTACATGCGCAAAAGTGTATATATGTATACACACACACACTTAGACTTGTTTCTGCTAGAACTGTCCTACTGGATTCCCAGGTCTGTTCTCGTACAGCCACAATCTTGAATCGGAGCGTACAGTTCAGACTATCCAGTCCACAGGCCTAGCTAAGAGGAGACGTTTATGTTCTCATTATTCTACCGTCACCCCTATTCTATACAGCCGTATGACGAGAAGCTTACTTCTATGTTGGGTCCTGCGCGGGCGCGGCAAGTATCCCTTGCCAGGAAGTTCAGTCTCACTATCGGTACATGTGTTGACACCTTTAAACGGTTATCATGACAGCATCCAGCATCATGTCCATACTCGCCATGTGATGTATTGAGAGAGATCTTCGAGCTCAAGACGCAAGTCTTCAAAGCCGCAGGCTGCTCAATGTTCAAATAGCCTCTTGGTCTGCACAGCAAGCCAGAGGCCCACGCGAGAAAGGCGCGTACCGCGCGGACTCCGGGCAGATCGCGCTGCGCTTCCCCGGCGATGCCTAGCTCATAACTTCTTTCATCCATGCTTTGGTCTTGAGTTGCTCCTGGTTCGAAGTTCGTATCAAGACATATCAAGACTGTATAGTCCGTAGGTGCAATTGTTGCAAACAGTGCCCTGGCGCATTGGATTTCGGGTACCCTCCTCGATGTACTTCGTGGTCTCCCAGAACAAGATTTGGGATACCAGGCCATGCCACTTGGTAATTTTCCGTGGCCTCGTTAATGAAAAGCTTGGCCTGTTTGACCGAGATTTGGCTGAGCAGCGTAAGGACATGTGCATCAAGGACACTGTGGACAGCGACTATCAAAACTTCGAGCGCATCCGCCAGGGCTGGCACATAGACGGTCGCTTGGCCTCATGGGCTCATGCATCTTCGGCTCCATTTAAACTATCTCCCCAAGACACTTCTCGGCGAAGGTAGATGTTGGGCGACGCAAGCTTTCGGACGATGCAACGTTAGTAGAGGCATAGGCGCCAATCAAAAGCATCTAACTGTGTTTGTGACCGAAGACCTGTTCTCAGCCGACAGTCCTGACCTGCGGTCCAAAGTTTGCAAGCAGGCCGTTTCTTTATCTCAAAGCTGCGGAACCGAAGTTTTGATAGGTAGTCGTTTCAGGCGTCAACTTGAAATTGGAGCCCGGCATGTCACTTGCCGGTTTTGTTGTCCGTGAGGCATTGACACATGTGGAAAATGCTCACCCCTCCCTCCCACGATCTACCGCGCGCGGTAGGTCTGGGAGAGGTTCTGGGCCTCATTCGTTGTTTGTGAGTACAATTTCAGGCCAAAAGAAGTACTCCTTTGGAAGCCGCACCCTGAAAGCCGTTCTCTGGGACTCTGGGTTTCGTTCGTAGTGCGGTTTGATTGCAACTCGAACTCTATATAAGAAAGCCTCATGTCGGCTTCCATCGCAAATACTTCGACTTGGAATATCATATTAGTCGGCTACACCGCCTACAAAATCATCTGGACCTCGCTTATATTTACCTCTAATTAGAGTTTTACATTAAGATGTCATGCCCTAAGATGTCCTCTTCTGGGCCTAAAGTTCATATCTAAAGTCAAGTAGACATGATGTACTTAAGAAGTCCTTCATTGAGAAGTCCCCTTCTGGGCCTCGTCCGTACTAAAAATTTGTTAGAAACCTACATTCAAAGGCCCGGCTGTGAGAAATCCTCTTGGGGGCCTCGTTAGCAATTAGATCTGCGTAGCTCTTTATATCTAAGGGCCCCACTCTATACAATCCTCTCTGGGCAACGGCTTTCATTAGCATCCTGGTAATGTCTGAGAAGGGTCTGAAGAATTATTTCCGTGGAGAGTCTGTGTCCAACGGGGCCCCGGACACAGATTTTCCACGGATGTTCCACAGATTTCGAGGTCCCACCATGCCCCGGAATCTGTCAAATGCAGGAACACTGTGGATTGCCATGCTTTCTTTTGGCTGTTTGCCGCCTAGACCTGCAGAAACAGTGCGAAACACGAGTAGTTCACTGTTTAATCAATAGAAGTCAACTACAGAACAAGGTTCTCACAAGGAAATAATCGAGCAGCATCGGATTTTGCGTGGTTTGTATGATGAATGAAAGCCCTTGTCACAGTAGATCGTCACAGAGATTCCACAGCATAATGCAGACTCAAGTTTGGTAGGATTCGTTGTGAAAAGGGCATGCCAAGGGTTGGGCTGCGGATTGTGTCGTCTCTTGGCAGGAAAATGTGACTTCGAGGATACGAATCTGTCGTTGCAGTTAGTGTTACCGATGGAAAAAATTCTACCCAGTACTTGGAAGTATTTGGTACTCTCACCACTGCCCAAAAGCTTGCAGGCACTCCTTCCAACTTCGTTCCTGGTGTGACGGATCACTGGGGCAAAATCACGAACTTTGACGCCTTGGTGGGGGTTCTGCTCAGCGACACGGATGCGAACATGAGCGGCGAGCTCTGCTGCCACTGAGTCGTTGCAGAGAGCAGGCCCTTCTTTTTTTGGCGGATGTTTTTCAATGTACTTCACCAGCAATCAGTGGCTTCAACCATCCAGTCAAATGACATACTATGCCGCAGCTATCTGCAGAGTGAGATAGCAAGTCACGTGCAGAAATCCCGTCCCTTCCTGAGGCTACCCCGGCTCGCATATGGAACTATCTGGATATTTTAAGCACCACGGGTTTGATGCAGTTGCGAACAAAGGCCTGCTCCGCAGCGACAGTGGTTTTGATTCTGCTGCATGCTGTACCCTAAACGTTGCTTGCCTACTTAAACTAGATTCCAGACGTAGGAACATAATGTATCACCCTGTGTGCATGTCCAAAGGCATTCCGGATGTTCAAAGTTGTCCCGCAAGTGCGTTTACTTGGTGAATACACAGTTTTCTCTCCCAGCAGCAATCGAGGCGTCGTTCTTCGGATCGTCCGCTTACTTTGTCGTTCAAGTTCCCCAACGACCGTGGACAAGCCCCCCCCGAGACCCCGATTTCAAGGCCCAAATAGAATTACAAGCAATGAAAGGGCAAGTTTCGTGGAGTCCAACAAGCGATGGCTGGCCTTTGTCGGGGCGAAGGCATCGCACGGGGTATCGTACAGGGCATCGCAGGATATATGTGGCAGGATGTTTGAAACTACAATCATCCAACAAAGAATGCAGGCAACCATGGGAAGGCTGAGAGCTACAGCTGCTATGTAGCCCGGCGAGATGCACCACACCCACGTTTGGTGGCTATGCCCTTCGTGACGTGCACGTCTCGTTGCTTGCACACAATTTCAACAAGTGATGTCGCAGACGCGTCTACTCGGAGATTGGCTTCGTGCGCGAGCGTGCGTGTTGAAGATGTGGACTGCCTTTGGCGACTTGATGCGTTGCACAGGGTGGGTTGCCTTTTGCGGGGGCGGGGAGCCTGAGGGTGCCAACCGAGTAAGCTTTTCCTCCCCCGATTCTTTCCTGAAGCCTTGTGCTACTTGTCTTGACTCGACGTACCACGTAGTTTCCTCGTGGAAGGTGTCGAGGGACTTCCCACTGGCAAGAAGACGGACGGCGCCACTAAGCTTTGACAAGGTCTGCAGGAAGTAAGGAGTAGTTCAGGTTGTGATTGTGGAGCTTTGGATTAGCAAAGTCTCATGTCATGTGAGTCATGTATGCTTCAGAAAGCAATTTCATCGAGTTTGCAGAGACGTTCATCATACCGAATCATACCAATTGATGTTCCAACTTGTTTAGGGATGTCAGGCGTGGTCCGTTTTGCAAACACGTTTTCCGAGTCGTGAGAATTTTTTCGTGTGGTGCACCCTTAAAAATCAATTGCCGGCCCCCTCGGGCAGGGCGGTGGGGACACAGCAAATAGGATGGGATCTATTTTCGCCCATTACACCATGCTTTCCCATACGGACTTTTCAGTATTTCTTGAGCACTAGCAGTCCACTTTTGGAAGGTACCAGTAGCAGGGTTTCTGTGTGATAAATGCGCATCTTAGGTGCTGCACAAGCCGCCGATGCACTGCAACGGGCAAGCCGGTGATGTTCGCCTGGCTGCACTAACACAACCGCACGTCGGCCACATTCTGTGCAGGGTTCATCACACTACATTGTAGATCAGCAGCGTGAAGGGGGCACAACACCTCCAAGTGCACCGCCTGAGGTCGCGGGTTTTGAGTGATCTTGCAGCTTCAGTCGGAAACTGCTTATTGCTTTGTGATTACAAGTGAGTACGAGGTGTTCCTGGCCAACTACATGGTGGCACATTTCATCGCCCCCAACACTTCCCAAGACATCCGATACGCGGTCTACTTTCGCATCCGTGGCCCTTCCTTCGACCTGGATCCCCTCTACAAGGATCTGTGGTAAAGAGCCTTCTTGTGACCATGGCCATTTCTACTTTTCTACCATCTCATATCCTGGGGTCTCTGGCTCACGTTGCTATTGCAGAAGCCGCATTGCGTTTTTCGAGCATTCCTGGCAAGGCAAGGCCAAGGGTTGATTTTGGCATATATCATTCATGAATCCGGCTCAAGGTTTTGCAGTTGGCAAAGGGGCCAAGACAAGGGCCCGTGTCAGGCTACGGCACGGTCGAAAAGGCTTCATAGGAGAAATGTAGCCTCCGAATCAGAGAGTGCACACCGACATGTAGCAATGTAGCACGCAGACTTGAAATGTGGAGGAGAGCATGCTGGACCCCCTGCTGAACTGGAGCCTAGATGGACCAGAGGCTCCAAAGAAGCCAGCCGCCAAGCCGGCGCTGAGACATGGCTCAGCGATTTTTGAGTCGGGACATAAACAAGAAGCATAGAAGGCTAAGTTCCTGTTTCAAGTCGAGCCCCTCAGTACGATGTTCCAATCCCATTAAAAGCAGCAGCCCTGCCCTACATTCGGCTTGTCGAACCCCTTGCCTACTGACGAAATCTACATCCCGTGCTTTTTCGCAGATTCCAAAATCTCACTCACCCGATGCCCACATCACCAAGAAGTCAAACGTCTGGAATTGTATCGAGCAGCATCTATGCGCCAAAAGAATACTCGAGGCCTGGACTTTATTATTCTGGACTAATGCGGCAACATGCGCGCCGAACGACCCAAACAACCAGCAAGCTTCATCCTGGACTAATGCGGCAACACGCGTGGCGAACGACAACGACGACCCAAACAACCAGCAAACATTATAAACAACAACAATAATGCATGACATCTACTGCGTGCCCTGGTCATGGACTCGATCGGCAAAAATCGATGGTCGGAGCAGCATCACAGGCCACCCCTTCGACAGCGCACAACAGAGCCAGGTTTTGCAGTTGGAAATTGTTGCTGTGATTTTGTACCTGGGCGCTTGTTCCTGTGACAAGCTAGAAGCTTAGGAGACGAGCCGCCACACTGGAGGAAGCTGATCGCATAAACGAGGCAGGGACGGTCCTAGAGCTTGTGCAGTGTGATTTCCCAACATACCCGGCGAATAACATCATCATGTGGAATGCGGAGTTTGCAGCAAGTACGGGAGCTTTGCAAAAATGATTGTCTTCCTCATTGAATTCACACCTCCGTCTCAGATCCTAGAGAACATCGTCGGCTCCTTCTGTACCACGAATTGATCATGCAGACACGATTGCCCAAGATGCTGGAAAATTCATGACGCCGTCGGTTCAGAGGGAATTTGAGAGGTAAGGGGGAGGGATGGCGTTTCTGATAACCATGCGGTCTGAGTGAGTCTATAATTACTACGTTCTAGGTCCTAAGCAAGACTTCCAGCGTCCGGTCTTGCGCTATCTGCAAGGTTCTGGACCACTATGCTGCGGCGAACAACGACCACACCGTGCCCAGTTAAATTCCTCCACAGCGCTTTTCTGGAACACCAGCGTTCTGATGTGTTCTGATTAGGATACTTTTCAAACCTAGGAACAAGTCTAAGACTTCACGAGTCCAGTCCGGCTGAAGTCGGCTGGCTCTTCAGCTGCAGTGCAAAAGCATGTCGTGTGTGGTGTTTTGGGTGCATGTGCTTACAGATTATGGTTGACTACGAGTACTCCGAGTATTCCACGATGGTAGTTCTTGTCTTCTCGTGGGGGCATACGCATCCCTTCAAAAAGTACTGCAATCCTTGCAGGCCAGCACATCAAGGAAAGGCCGAGCCACATCAAGAATGGGAGATCACAGTTAGTGGATACTAGCTGGCAGAACCATGCAGGAGATTGGCTTGAGCAAGTTGAACCGCCACCCCATGTAGCACAGCGACCCTCCGCGCGCGCATTGTGAGCACAGCTCACTTGCAACCGCGATGCCCGACATGCACGAGTTGGAGGCAGGAGAATACCGGACTGAGCGTGGGCACTTTGCAGACGCCCAACCTTGGCATCGGCACCCCGTACTTGGTTGACCTGGCCGCGGCGACAACCTTGATGACCATCGGCGGCGTGCTTGGGGTTGGCTCAGCTGCCATGGCTGCTGCTGCGGGCTGCATCGGGGCGGCTGTTGGAGGTGGCGTTGCAGCAGCAGTCGAAGGTGCCGTCGTTGGTGCCGTCGGGGCGGTGCCGTTGGTTGGCGGCTGGCCCAGCAGGCGGTGCCGCAGGAGCGGCTGCTGGAGGGGCGGCGACTGCGGGAACTTCGGGTGCATTGGTTGGTGCAGCGCCTGTTGCGCTCGCTGCAGGAGTGGCCATCGCCGCAGTTGGGGGTGCGGTC